GCAGAAAGAATTCTGGGATAGAGCCAGGTGCTCAAGATCAACCTGAGAAGCTGTAAGAGATGGGAGGCATGGTATCTGAGCACAGGTGATCAGCCACATGACAGAATGTAGTTAAAATAAATGAGGTATTTTAGTTATGATCTCACATGAATAGAACCTATCTATATGGCCAAGATATCTGTAAATATATTGAGTCTGGGTCTTATTTCTAGGAGCATGGGGCTGGGAGGCAGAACTTCTTACAGATTCTTGCAGATTCAGACAACTATGTATACTTACAACATTGAGCTTTAAAAATTCTGGTTCAAGAAACAAGGCTCTTTTAATTGAGACAATCCACTCAGGACCTTTTTAAGACTATTTTTAAATCTATTGACATGATTCTGCAATGTCATTTAGGTTCACTAAGCCCATATATAGCTAGTCATTGACCGCTGCTAACAAGGGACTGGTTGCAGGATTCCACATGCCTCTCTCATTTAAAATAGTGTAGTAGCTGTATGCAACCTATCCCCACCAACTGTACTTCAAGTCACCTTTAGATCACTTTAATATCAAATAATAGAAATGCTGTGTATGAAATTCAACTATATGGTTTATACAAGAAAGTCTATAAATGTTTAGAAACATAGGCAAAGCAATTACAAAAAACATTAACTCAAGGTTGATTGAACCAAGAGGTGGAAAACTAATTGTCAAGAGGAAAGACCATCATGTATTTTAGAAGGCTGTTGTGAAAAAATTAAAGCTTTACACAAATAAAGTCAATAAAGTATAGGGGTTTTTTGTTTGTCAACAGGGTTTCTCTATGTAGCCTTGTCAGTCCTGAACTCTGTAGATGAGGCTGACCTTGAACTAATAGAGATCTGCCTCTAAAGTAATGCATCACCACTGCCGGGTAAGTATAGTATTATTTACTTTCTTTTATTTATCCTGAAGATAAATAAAATAGTAATATTGTGTCATGATTTTCAAATCATTATCTGCCACAAAAACTCAGGATCCTAATGACTCGGATCCTAAATATTAATACTACATACATTTGAATCAATAGGTTGCAAATAAAAACATTAAGAATTATGAAATTATGAAAACTGGAGTTCCCACTTTATCACTCCCTCAATGCTTAGAATATCTCTATTAAGAACACAGTATCTACTGTCCAATGTATATATGTATTTGCCTACATGGATGCCTACATACCATAGCTTGTGGAGATCAAAAGGCATCAGATTTCCTGAAACTGAAATAACTGATGGTTATGAGTCACCATAAGGGTGCTGGGAATCAAATCTCAGTTCTTTACTGAAAAAAAAAAACCAGTTCTTAACCAGAGACATCTCTCTAGCCCTACAGTTCTATTTTTCAACATATGTAAATTTGTTCGTCTATGGTTCTTATAATAATTGTCAAGTCAATAGTAAAGACCATCAACTGCTCACTCTTCCAGGTCCTGAATTCAATTCAATTCCCAGCAACCACATGGTGGTTCACAACCGCCTGTAATGGGATCTGATGCCCTCTGCTGGTGTGTGCTCACACACATAAAATAAATTAAAAAAAAAATGTCAAGTCTTAAAAAAAAAAGAAAAAATTGTCAAGCCTTCTTCCATTTTATGTAAAGAGCTCATCACACTCAACACTTTCTCTGGCCCTTCTTGCCTTTGAGGGGGAAAAGCTCAGTGTAGGTATCAGACAGGTGATATAAAGATTACAATCATTATATAAACTTTTCATTCATTCATTCATTCTGGAAACACATAATGAAGCGTTTTTTACTTATAGCTGAGTGTAGCGGCACGTGCCTTAACCCCAGCACTGCAAGACAAGCATCAGATGGATCTCTGTGAGTTCAAGACCAGCCTGTCTACATAGTGAATTCTAAGCCAGCCAAGACTATGTAGTAAAACCCTTTCTCAAAACAAAACAAACAAACAAACAAAAAAAATAGAAATTTTTAAATGTCATAGAATATGGAATACATGAAACATTAGAAAGCACGAGGGAAGAATAAAGAATGTCATCAGCCTTTCTTTGGCTATCCACTAGTCCAAGCTTCTTACATGAGAATGATTAATAACATGCCAGAAATACACACAGTAAATAAACAGTAAAGTAGCACATGAGGCCAGTGAATTGTGAAGTATTTGTGTTATGTGAAGACAGGGCAAGCATAACAACAGGAAATGTCCTAAAGGCCGCACGCTATGTGCTTCTGCTCTCCTGAGGTCCATCCCTGTACATGTCACGGGGCCAAGGCTTAGTTTATCTGTGTCAACTCCCCTTGAGCCGATTTTTGAAACTGTCTTCTGATTTGATTAAAGATGATAAGTACTCAATGGCATGACTCAGACGACAGAGGATCATTTGAAAGGAGCACTAAACCTACGTCAGAATTATCTCTGTATCAGTACAGGCTAGCTTTAAGACAATCCCGTCTTTAGTTTAAAACTAAAAAGAAATATGATGGTTAAACCAGGAACAGCAATACATTCTACTGGCCAAATAGAAAACAGTCAAAGTGTGGTCTGAAAAAATCAGAAAGATGCAGGCATTTAGTGACCACTTAGCAGTATATACCAGGCGAAAAAAAGCGGTTGCTACACATTTTGATAAAGGGGTGGGAAGGATGACAACTGAGGTATTAGGTGAATTTCCAAACAAAAGTTTACTTAAGTTTACTTAAACTTTCTTTACTTAAAGACATGATCAACACTTGGCTTCAACTAAAATACACACAGACACACACAAAGACATACAAAATGTATTCTTATAATGCCCACCATATTTAACCACTGAGGATCCCAGCTTCTTCAAACATGCTGTCTCGGGCAAACGCTATCTCCATAGATGTCCACTCTCCTGTCTGCCCCAGGAGTTCTCCTAGGCTTCCCAAAGGCAAGAAAAGATCACTGAAGGCAACTACAGGAAGTATCCCTAAACTTCAACAGAACAGAGCCCAGAAAGAAAAGTGAATTTCAGAATGGTAAAACACCTAAGTGGCTGGCACATATCAGGCACGTATTTATGTGTAGTCAGAATGGCAAAAAACCAAAAACAACAATAAATATACATGTGATGGTGTAATCTACCCCCTTGGCATTACTGATTCCAAAGCTCAGACTCAAAAGGTTAAAAGACTTGTCTGTAGACACAGATATTTTCAGGCACGTTTCTGGCAGAGCAGTGTTCCTTACAACAGAGTTGTGTTCCTTACATCACTTCAGCCCTTCATACAGAAATATAGTTATTCAATCTATGTGAAAACAGAGATATAAACCCTGCAAGAAGCAACCTGATGCATCCAGTGATCAATTATACTTTTTTCAAACATATATTAAGGCAACTAAGGTGAAATGTTATCCATCTTAGTATTTGATACCATCATAATTACTTCCCAGATGCAAAATAAGTGTTTAGTTTGTTTTTTCGAGGCAGGGTTTCTCTGTGTAGCCCCGGCTGTCCTGGAACTCTGTAGACCAGGCTGGCCTCGAACTCAGAAATCTGCCTGCCTCTGCATCGCAAGTGCTGGGATTAAAGGCGTGCGCCACCACTGCCTGGCAAGTGTTTGGTATTAAATACAAATGTTTGAAGAAACTTGCACATGTAGTTCATTATAATTTCAACGTATTACTGCTGTAAACTCCCAGGTTAAAAGCAGTCATCCCGACATAGCTGAATGAATAATCAGATATATACAAGATAGACAACTGAGGAGAACTCAGGCTGGGAGTGTAATTCTTTCCCCATTTAAGAGGGGCTGAGCTAAATCTATTCCCAGCAATGCAAAACAAACATAAAAAATGCAGAGCAAAACTGTGGCACTGGGAAGATGTGGTTTTTGTGCTTCAAATTATTAAACGGGTAAAATAGCCATTAAGGCAACACAGCCATCAAGGGCACTGTAAGTGTGTGGGTGTGTGCTCACTATCGTTCTAGTCCTGAGTTTCCTCACCTGTAAGGCCCAGAATACAGAAAAGGTAAAAGTGAAAATGAAATATTCTGTTGCTAAAGGGAGGTGAGGACCGAGCACTGCTTAACTATGGAGTGAACCCTCAGAAACCTAAAACCCTAAGGCCCAGAAGACAACCATTAGGTTCTATGATTCCTCGGAAGGCTTCTCCTCCATCCAGAAAGTGGTCATGTTTGAAATCTCAAAGCCCGGATTTGAAGATTGCTTTTTTTTCCCCTCAGGACTGTTGAAAACTACTAAATTTCCGTAACTTCAAAATCATTTATTCTTCCCAAACAATGCCAATCTCCTCATACTCTAATCACGTTTAAAAATACGTCAGGGGCATTACTCCAACTAGCAGGGAACTTGGGGTGGGGGTAGCCATGTAGATGACCTAAGTATGGTGTGCTGCTTGAAAAGAGAAAAATACTGGAGATGATGAAATTTGCAAAACATCTAAAACTCCAGTTGGCAGAAGGCTCTCCACAGCCAGCTGTCTTTCAAGAAGAGGATCCGAGTGTATTTACAACCTACAAGCAGAAGGGAGCCAAGCCTCAACTAAACTCTAACATAAAGAACTTTCCTCCAATATACAAGGCGAAAATGATGCAAATCCTGTAGTTTACTTCAACCGGCTTGCTCCAAGTCGGAATAATGAATGAACTGGAGGCATCACTACGAAGTTGGGGGGCCTCACTTTCAACCCAGCGGGTGAGTCTCCAAATCAGGGGACTCACAGGCTGGTCTGCTTCAAGGGGAGAGCCGGCTGCAGGCTCCCCGAAAGTTCCGCGGCCTCGGGTGTCCGCCCCGCCCGGCCGAGGGTCGCGCCCCCTCCCTGCCGCGGCACACACCCCGCCCCCGCCGCCCGTTAACCCCTCACAGCCCGGCGCGGGCTCCCGGAGGAGGCCGCCCAGGGGGTGGAGTTGTCGCGTCTCCTCCCGGGATTGCCCGGGCAGACGCCCGGCTTGTTTACAGGCCCCAGGCCTGGCCGCCGCCGCACAGGCCCGCCCGCCCGCCCTCGCCCTCGCCCTCGCGCCGCGCTTACCCGGAGCAGCCGCGGGCGGGCAGGTCCCTCGGTCGGCCGGGGCTGCGGCAGCGACGGCGGCCGGGCACGGGGTCCCGCGACGGCGGCCGGGCCCGGGAGGAGGAGGGGAGGAGCCGGGCTGGGTCCGGGCCCCCGGCTCTCGGAGCCCTCGCGGCTCAGATCATCCGGGCGTCGGAGCGGGAGGCAGAGAGCGGGGCCCGCGGGAGGCGGAGGAGGCGCCGAGGACTCATCGCTTTCCGCCCCACCTGCCTGGGCCCCCCTCCCCCCGCCCCAGCCACCCGATCCCGAACTGCGGACCCGGCCGGCGCGGAGACCACGGCGTTCTAGCTCCTGCGCGCGCTCCCGCCCTTAGCGCCGCCGCCGCCTCTAGCGCGGCCCCGCGCACGCGCGCTCTCGACCGCGCTGCCCCGCTCCCTGCCCGGCCCCGCCCCGCGCCGCCGCTCCCCCCACCCCCGGCCCTGCAGCTGCGGCGCGGCCCATGGGCTGGAGAGACCCGGATGTGGGAGGGCCGGAACTGCGGCTAGGGCGGGGGAGGGGCGGTGGTGACGTCACTGCCCTGCGCTGCTCTTTAGCGGGCTGTGGGGCCGCCGGCGCCGCGGGCTGATACCTAGGGAGCCTCGAAGTCCTGGGTCGGAGCCAGGCGCGCGGCCTTCGCGCTAGGGCGCGGAGGGTCCCTCCAAACCCGGCCGCCGTCGTCCACACCAGCCTCTTACACCTGCCGCCAGTCTCCAGGTGCCGTCTGGGTTAGGGCCCGGCGTAGAGGAGTCAGCCTGCCCTTTCGACCCCAGGAGGCCCACACGGGTGCCACGGCCATACCGCAAACGTGCGTGTGCAACCACGTGCCTAGAGCTGCTCGCGGATTGTCCCTGAGTCGCTCCAGAGATTCCGAATTGTATTTAGGTGCACGTTACAGGGTCACGTGATTCGGTTTCAACTGGCACTTCCAAAGACCTCCAATGGGGTTAATGGAACCGAGGGTTTTTCAAAGTCTAGAGGATAATCAGAAACGTGACAGCTGCTTTCATCAAGGGCTAGAGATGAGCTAAAGGTAATTGGAACTGCACGTGCAGGCGGCCAAAATCCAGTTTAGCTAGCTAGACCACAGACAACCTGACCCACGCTGCTTGCAGACGCTGGGATAGAATGACAAACCCTAGGCAGCCAATGAATCAGAGCTGGAAAGCAGTACATCACCAGTATGAGTTCCCATTGGCTGGGGTGCCTTCCCAGCTCTTCAGTCACCGTTTTAACCCTTATACCAAATTCGCAGGAATAGAAGTTTAAGAGCTATTCTGGTATAATACAAAGAAAAAGCATATGTTCCGTTGAAATAGGCTAATGCTTCTAAACAAAAAAAAATACTAAAACTATTAGCCAAATTGAGTTCAGGCCAGTAAGATGATGAATTTCAGTAAGGCCTTCCGTTTTTCTCTGGTGCTTACCCTGTTTGCACCCTGTTACTTTGTGTCTCTTACAAACCACCCCATTGTCAAATGCAACCTACTTTTCGCAGGCTGTCATTCCGCAAACTATTTCTCTACTTTGGATGTTGTGGTAACCATTTCCGATATTTTCACCATGACTTTTGGAACATGATTCTCTTTCTTCACTTTTACACCTGACATCTAATGGCAGGATCACATGTGAATAAAATTCACTATACAGTTCTTAATTCTTTTCTACACAAGTGCAGAAAATAAATGAAATTAGATGCAAAATCTTTTAATGAAATGCTGTTTTATTGGATTAGTTATATACAATATGTTGTTTATTTAGGTTTTGTTAAGTGCTGATGCTTGGGATTTATTTTAATCCCAAGGTCAAGTCCTCAGCCACTAAGCTCTGTCCTCAGTTCTGTCTTCAGCCCTGGTTAGGGTTTTCATTATGTGCATGTGCTCGTTTTGTTGTTTGTCTCTAACAAACTCTTGCTGGCATCAAACATACAGGGATCCTCCCAGTCTGCCTCTGGATTGGTAATAGTACAATTGTGTGCCACCATACCTGACTCAATTCTTAGTACTTTTACTACTTAAACAAGTTACTGCATGGTGGGCATGCAAGTGGATTTTGTCAACATTCTAACATACAAAAGTCATGTGAAGGCCACCATTTAGTGGGGTGTGTGTGTGTGTGTGTGTGTGTGTGTTTCAGGATGGAGTCTTAGATTTCCCGGGCTGACCTTTTAACTCTTGTGAAACTGAGGTCCTCCTGCTTCCACCTCCCTGCTCCTGGGATGCACCACCACACCTGTCTTCAGTGCTCTTAAGCAATAAATTTTCTTGTTGAGAGAGGAACTGAGTTATCTGTGGCAGTAGACACTCTAGGAAATTGGGAGGTTTTTGTCTGGGTTCTTTTAGGTTTACATTCCTGCATTCTCTCTGTTCTATCTTTGTAAGAAAGCCGGGGCAACAGAAGAGGTAGAAAGAATACAATATGATGTATAATATGTAAAATATAATGGTGAGATTTCTTTTTTTTCAGGAGTCCTCCCAGTGCACCACAGTCAGCTGTGGACACCATTTGTAGGGATATTGTAGTGTGAATGAGAAAACTTGTGGGCCATATGTTAACACTTTAAAACTAGGAATTAGACATTAATACTGTCTAACGAAAGATACTCAATTATGCTATTCCCTTCTATTATCAAATTTTTGGTGGTAGTGTTGAGACAGGGTCTCAAAAAATAAACTGCCATGTAAAAGTGACACATCTAGTTCCTATGGAAAGTTCTTTGTTCCTACAGGAAGCCTTTTCTCAGTCCCATTCTTAAATTCAGACAAGACACAGCCAAGTGTTTCTGTTGTGTTTGCTCCTTCCACCACCTAGACACAGTATGCACATTACCTCAGAAACACACAGCCCTAGCTGTCATGAAACTCACTCCCCTCAGCCTCCTGAATCCTGGGATTAAAGATTCGACCATCATGAGGAAAGGGACTTTGAAAATAACTGTTTTTCAGATTTGAACTGTAAGACTTTAATCCTCTACCCGAGTTTGAAGTCTTCACAATAAATTTGTTCAGTTTGATCGCTTTTACATATCTAAAACCATCATATTCTGCACCAGAATTTTTTTTGTTGTTGTTAACACAGAAAGGAAGTCAAAAGGTGTACTGAATTTGCTGTGCTCCTGTAACCTAGGAGCTGAGACCAAGGCGTAAAGAAGCCCAAGACACTTAATACTAATAGAGTAGGCCAGTGCTGGCGCACGCCTTTAGTCCCATCACTCAGCAAGCAGAGGCAGGCAGTTCTCTGTGAGAGCCCAGCCTGGTCTACTGAGTGAGCTTCAGGACAGCCTGAGCTATACGGAGAAACCCTGTCTCAAAAAAAAAGAAACAACCAAAAAAACCCCCTCAAAACTAGTAATAAATAAAATTAAAGCCTACTACACTCAATATTCTCTCAATTATTAAAGATAAACTATTATACATTTAAACACTAGTTAAACTCAATCCTGTCTCCCTTTTCCTCTACAATTCTGATTTTAAAAGTGTGTGTGTGTGTGTGTGGTTACATTTCTTATTGCATAACTATTATGGATACATCCAGAGATGGCCTAACCCTGGCCTCTCAAAGTGCTTCTCTCCAGCATGTAAATGATCCTCCAGGATGCCTGGGAAGCCCCCTCCCCCAGCCAGCCAACCATCCTTCCACAGCAAGCTGAGCACTACCCTAATACACGCCAAGTAGGCCAGAGGTCCACCACTCCTTTCCTCTGTCTGCTTCACTACCTGGTTCGGGCTTTTCTCTCTCCCATAGCCACTTCGTGTGTCCTCCTCTTGTCTGCTTTCTTCTTGTCTCTCTTCTCCCTTTCTTCTGTACTCCTTTTATCTCCTTTTCCTTTCTTGCCCTCATTTTTCTCTTCCTTGATTTGAATAGTTTAATCCAAAATGTAGTTTCTGTGACCCATTTTCTCCTGAACTGGAACATAGAGATAGCCCTAAACTAGTTTCATTCAGGGATGGGGTACCCCACCCCATCCCCTCCCTCCCTCCCTCTCCCCCCTCACCATATCATGGTAATGAAAATCAGCTGTCTACAGGACTGTTAAAAGAATGAGAAGGATTAGAGAATCAATGCCCTGTGTGACATCACCACTGAGGAGGGGGGCGGGGTAGCCCTCCCAGGGCACAGCAGAAGGGAGCTAGCCATCTTTTGCTGCCTCTATGCCTCCGGGTCCCTGAGAAACATGTGAACTGTGAGCACTACTGGCCAAGTCCTAGTGAAAGATTTCCCCTCAAAACCCAGTGTGTGGCCATGGCCTAACACTAGCTCTTATCAGATAAGTGCCTCTGTTTGACAGATAGTCATTGTGTGCCAGGCACTGGGCTGGATCCTGTGGTAAATGACATCAATGAGAAAGGTCCCTGCCCCCACAGAACTGGCCTTCTGGCCACAGAACATTCACAAAGAGTAAATAAATAAAATTAGGTGCCATGATGGAGGAGATGACTTGAAAACAGATGTTCGGCCAGGCGGTGATGCCGCATGCCTTTAATCCCAGCACTTGGGAGGCAGAGGCAGGTGGATTTCTGAGTTCGAGGCTAGCCTGGTCTACAGAGTGAGTTCCAGGACAGCCAGGGCCACTCAGAGAAACCCTGTCTCGAAAAACCAAAAAAAAAAAAAAAAAAAGAAAAACATGTTCAGTGAGAAGTTAGCTTAGTAAAGAACAGGGAAGGGGGCTAGGTGACTGTGTGCATGCGGTGTATGTGTATATGCATGTGTGTGGGTGTGTGTCCACATGCATATGTGGGAGCTAGAGGATAACACCCAGTGTCTTCCTCTAGCCCCTGCCTCCTGGCTCCATCTTCCCTATACTAGGGATACAGACACACCTGGCTTTTTAGAAGCATATGAGGAATCTGAAATCAGCACCTCACTCACATTTGCATAGCAAGCATTTCACAGATTAAGCCATTTCCCCAGCCCTGGGGAACCGTTTTTAATCAGTTATTAACAAATTTTATGGGGACTCCTTGAAAAAATTCACCTTGGTGTTTCTCATCTATTCCTGACATTGTGGGAGATCCTGTACTAAACCACATCCTTGGAAGTGAAGTGACAACAATTTTCATACTCAACAATGACAGCTTGGTTGGAAAAGAGTGATGAAAAAAATGACCATCACAATAAAGTCTTTTATCTGTACAATCACAGAGACCTGTCAGCTTAATTCCGTCACCAGGCTGCCTGTGAGCAGAACAAGGACTGTGGTACTCCTCCCTTACAGAAGAGAAAAACCAAGCTCCAGACAAAGAGGTAGCAATTATTTAGGGCCACAGAAAGCAATGACTGGTTGGTACTCAGGACTTTCTCTCGGTGGTGATCACTACTCTTTACATGACAGTTGTACACACAGCAGAGGATAAAGTCACTGACAGGCAGTGCTGTGCACAGCTAAAGCACACTGATCTG